GGTGTTTCCACTGAGTTATTTCATGACCACTAAACTGAGAAGGGTATCAAGTGGTTTAGGGCAGGGAGTTTGTGTATGAGTTAAATGAATGCCTCACAAAACTTTTCCATTGTACGCAAGCTATGCATATAAGCCTGTTCTCTGGATCATTACACGTTGGATAAACCTGTAACGTACTGTATGTGGCATAATACATACCCTATGGATAAATAAAAAGAGCAAAAACTAAGCATGATATCAAGGACATGTGATGTATACAGACAACATTAATTTTTGTAAAGCAAATCTTATATAAATATATTAACGTTAATTCAACGAATTTACAGCGCATCTGTATATGTATCCTAATGTAGTAAAACAGAATAAGCAAATTATAAATAAAGGATTAGTTTTTAGTTGATACCTGGAGAAGTTGTCAAAATGGGTATATTCACAGTAACTAACGATTTAAGTCAACATCAAACTGCTCAAATGCTTGTTTTCTCAGTGGTTAAACTGTGTTTTACTACATTGGTTTTCCCCTGATCATTTTTTCTTATGTTGCACTGACACCTAGCGGCAAAACACAAAAGCAAACATTTTCATCCAAAATAATTTCCTTCTAGTTAATATTTCAAAATCATTATGTTTTTGTAAAAACTCTCTGGCATAAACTGAACTGGTTACATATAATAAATGTCAGGTCAATGTAAGTTTCCATATTGTTATTAGAGCAGGTTTTATATGTTGTAATTTTATACAATTAAAATGACTGACAGAGACCCATCCCCTCTCAACCAAACACTGTAAACAGTTAGTAAGCTTGCTGAACATCATCAATAGCAACAAGCTCAACCGTGACATAACACACACAGTTTCTGTCAATATCATGTTAATCTTGAGTACCTATAGAGTAGTATTGCATCCTTCATATCTCCGAAGATTGCCAACAAAACACAGAAATTTGATGCAGTTTGAGTTTTACTCACCGCCTGCGGTTCCGACTCATGACCGGGATCTTTTATCGCTGGGACCGCTCCATCTTTCCGTATCAAATGATCTGCAAATACAGCATGGAACTGGACATTGTTTATAAACATTCGTCACCGAAATGACGGGAACAAACAAACACACTTGCGAAACTCCGTTGGTGCATCCACTGTTCCCTTAAAGGGGTCATATGATGCGATTTCAATTTTTCCTTTCTCTTTGGAGTGTTGGTCCTTTGGGAAGCTGAACAAGGTTATCTTTCCCTCACAACCAAAAACACACTTCTTCTCGAGCAAGTCCCGTAAAATAATCTCTGACAGCACTGCCGACGACTTCCATAAACCAAATGATGCAAGTTGTTGCTGGCGCTCTTCCGGGAGAAGTGCCCAATGCCCATACAAGGAATTCCGCCCTTCATGACGTCATGAAGGGCCATACTCGAAAATAACTTTCCGAAACTCATGCTGCATAATTCGAGATGACGACACGTGACGTTCTACTTGGAGCTGTTCACATCCTTGGACTACGAACTATGGCACTATCAATGCCTAAAAATAGTGCCCTTCAGATTTGTCCCCATTCATTAGTAAAAGTTGCTCTGAGCAGCTTTGTGAACAGGTTTAAGAGGAAACTCGTACCTAAGAACTTTTACTGCTATTTAGGAGAACTCTTAGTGTTAAGATAACATTTTTGGGAATGTGGCCCCAGATGTTTTGTCCCGTATGTTTACAATCACTTATATAACTGACTGTTTAATTTCACATCATACAAGCATTTTGCAGTTGTATTTAACCGGAATCAACATGTATTTGAATGCAGCCGCCTCAGCGAGTTTTGTGCTTCGAATATGTGCAGCATTATACAGTAAACGCCGTGCACAACTGCTGAACAAGATATGCGCCAGATGGCGCTGTAGTGTAATGTTGCCAGGTGCTCTTTTTATAAGCGAATTTGGGCTGTTTTTAACCAGCTTGCTTATATTTCTCGCGTGATCTGGCAACATTGAGTTTCTGGCCTTACGAATCAACAGCAGCTTCCTGAGCACAGTTTCAAACACGCAGCTGGGCAAAAATGGTACGTGTTCATTTATCAGAAACGGTTTCCTTCTCAGAAAATACTCGTCCGTTTTAACTTATTATTAAAACCATACGTCCGAGTAGATATTTAAGCTGCTTTCCCAAAAAGCTGGCATTTTAGGACTGAAGGGTCACATGACAGCAGCGAGCTAGCGCTGCCTGAGTGATTCAGCCCGTGCTCACAACAGTATGGTGTCAGGCTGTCTTTTTTAAATAGATTAAATCAATGACACTCGAAGTATATTCTTTGCTACATTAACTAATTATGCTTTTATGTGTTGCGATACTTGGTATGGTGTGTTAATACTGAATGCTTAGTCCAGTAACAGTTTGCTAGCCTACAGTGGCTAACATAATACTGTTATTCTTATATATTACAAGCATATGTTTACAAAATTAAATACATGGCTTTTGTATTGTCAAAATCAAATTGTTAAAATATTACTAAATGTATTCATTTTACAGTGGGTGTATAAACCTCAAGAACGTTTTAAAATGTATTTGTACTGCAATAAATATCGTTCCAAATCAGTTTTACAGAGAATAGTGCTTGCAAATTGAATTGTTGTCATGGAAATGCTTTTGAAAGTGATACTGTGATCTTATGGGAAGCCTCAGCAGCTCTTACCCCAAGCTTCACACTAACCACCTGCAAGTGCCATCCATTCATCAACCACAATCAGCTAACATTCAATCCAATTTATGTTGAGTTTCCAGTTGATGTTATTTATCCACTTTGTTTCAGTTTTCTGTCTGTCTTTCATCTTTTGTATGTTGTTTTTTGTTGTGATCATGCATCCACATCCCCTCCCTCACCCCCTTCCTCACCCACTGTTCCCCATCCTGACCTCTGCATCGTATTCAGGCTGGTCACAGAGTAAGTGCCTCTCCAGACCTCTTGTGCTCATGGTTTTCTCAATTTTAGACTAGTGCTGCTGTTTCCTCTGGGCTGCTGGATCTAGCACGATTCCTCTCTCACCCTCAGTCTTGCTTTCTGTTTGCATTGCTCTGGGTTTAGAATGCTCTTCATCAAGTGAAACTAATTTCTGTGATCATCAAGTAGTTAATAATCTAATTATCAGCTTGCAGAATGATTGGGAATTGAAGAATACTCCACCATGTTGAGAATATATTGTCCTGTTTCTAAGCATTACAGAAACTTTGTGTGTGTGTGTTTTGCATATTTTATAAATATTGTGAGCTATATTTTAGACACAAGCTAAATAGAGTATCAGTGAGACTTGGTCTGGTCTCATAAAAATATTGGCTTATGTTTGGAATGGGATACTAATGTACTGTGTACAGTGCGGTATATGCTGAATATTGCATACTGTTTTATTTAAAGTATGTGAGACCATATGCAACAATAGTAAGTATGCTATTATTATATTAAGAAATAAGTCATCTGGGTACTTTTCACTTTCTGTTTTATGGACACACCACTCTTTTCACATACTGTTTTTTGCCTACTATATTGTAGGGAAGTATGTGATTTCTGATGCAGCCACAGTGTAAGATGTTAGTATGCTATTCCAAACATAGCCATGTTGTCTTGAAATGTTCAGCTGGGTTTTTTATTTAAAAAATTAAAGTGCATTGCGTAAGATCTCAGTTTTCTATAGTACCAAAGATGTGATTCTACTGAACATTTTTTAAGCTTGTATACAAACAGTTTGATCTCAGCCTCTTTTAGGTTCAGCAAGTTCAACAGAGCTAACAGTCTTAGAATCAGCGCTCAGCTTTGACCTGATTGCTGTCTGAAGAAAATTTGACATATTTATGCTTCCAAATAGATTCCGAAGGCAAAACATTCTCTCCCAAATGTTTTAATTAAAGATTTCATTCAGACAGCAATGCTTTGCTTACGACTCCACTATTCCTTCACTCTATGTGTCTAGCGACTAAGGTTTGAACACTAACAAGTTTTATTTCGCCATTAGCTGGTCCTCGTGTTAGGTGACCTTCACATTCCCCACCGATGCAACACCCTGCCTGCCAAATTCAAGAAGTTGCTAGTGCCTGGCAAGATTCAGCACATCCTCTGCACGGGAAACCTTTGTACAAAGGAGAGCTACGACTACCTGAAAACACTCGCTGGAGATGTGCACATTGTCAGAGGAGACTTTGATGAGGTGACTTTGATGACTTAAAGTTCCTATTTCTGTTTTTCGTTGTTTATGCACTCTTTTAACCATCCTCATTGCTTGTTTCCAAATGACAGAACTTGAATTATCCGGAGCAGAAGGTGGTGACAGTGGGGCAGTTCAAAATCGGCCTGATCCACGGACACCAAGTGATCCCATGGGGTGACATGGCGAGCTTGGCCCTGCTTCAAAGGCAGCTGGATGTGGATATCCTCATTTCTGGTCACACACACAAATTTGAGGCTTTTGAGAATGAGAATAAATTTTATATTAACCCCGGATCTGCCACAGGGGCCTATAGCGCACTGGAAAGGTATAACGTTTACTTTTATATTCTCCACATCATGTTATATGCAATTGATTACATGATTTGTGATTAAATTGTCTCTTAACAGCAACATCACACCATCGTTTGTTTTGATGGACATTCAAGCATCTACAGTGGTAACGTATGTCTATCAGCTCATTGGAGATGACGTCAAAGTCGAGAGAATCGAATACAAAAAGTCTTAAAGAGCATGGATACTGTCAGCTGCCTTCTTTCAGGATGCTAATCTTGTCATTGAACGTCACAAATGCTGTATCATAACGTTACGCTATGTTTTAATGTAATATATAATACTGTTTATATGTCACCAGAATGTCAGCGTTGTGGTTTCAGCAGATGGTTGTTGAGGATGCAATAATGCTGCATTATTTGCATAATGTTAGTGCGAATTAGTCTTCTAAATATGTTATGTGCCCTATTAATTTGTCAAGGCCCATGTTAAGTCATCTTTCATAAAATAAAACCCCACATCACATGAGCAGTGTAATTTTGTTTTTTATTTTTTAAGAAAACACAGATTGCACATTATTAAAATCACTATTTTGAAATGTCTGGAACAGCTTTTTACTTAAAACTGGATCGTCTTGGATATGTTTTAAAAAAGATCTTGTTAGATATTTTTCACAAATGACATAAAACATAGACTGATGTGTTAGGTAAGGAATAGATAGTCCTCATCATCTTCTTCTGATTCATTGAAAGACAGGCCACTCATGTGTCCTGCAAGATAAGAATCCATTTCAGTCGCCTCCCATTCAAAGTCATCTTCCCATGGACGTGATTCTGGAAATATAGGTCCGTTTTAAATAATGTTAAATACAGCTATATGCTTTAAATAAGCTCAAGTTTTTATAATATCAGGATCATAAAGAATCTTGTATATTACACTATTTATAGTCTGTAAAGTAACAAACCTACCCCGTGAAGAAGCGTGTTTTGCAGTGTTAGTCCTTCTCTTTTTTGAATGTATTGTGTTTGACTTTGCAAATCCAGAAGACACTCTGTAGTGGTTAAATATTAGGATCACAGCTATTTCTTTCAACAGTGTTTCAACATTTTTGCAGGTGGCAACATTTTCTTACCTTTGATGATTGACAATTTTAGGTAAAGTTGTTTTCTTGACTTTCTCTGAGGTCGAAGATCTCTTTCCACTTTCTTTTGTCTTGCTCGTAGATGTACTTTGAGAGTTTGACATGTGCTCCACCTGTGGGGTGTATGTTGACATCTGCAGCTTCACGTTTAGATTCACATTCGCATCTGGCACTAAATATGAAGTACAATAAATTATATATTTCTTTGTAATAAAAGGTCTTGCTAATGCAGGCAAAATAAGTTCCATGCTCATAAGAGGCGATGGTTCACCTGTCCTGATACAGCGGTGTAATACATTCATATAGTGTTGACATATTAACTGCCGCATGTGCTCTTTACTGTAGGCCTCTGCGATATTATACAGAAAACGCTTCTGTCCAGGTGTCAGGCCTGGGTGCTGAAAACAAAGTGAATGTGAATTTATAAGTTTTTTAATGGCTGCTGAAC